CCCCCCCCCCCCCCCCCCACCCTCTCGTAATTTGTTGTTGTTTTGGGCTCGATACCTTTTATGTCCACTCAAAAACACATTCCTGCTTGGAATTTTCTTTTAAAAAAAAATCAAAGTCACACAAATAATAGATAAAACTGCAGTTTTCCATTACAAAACAGCTTTGGAAGCCACAGAACTTTGGCGGCCCTTTTTTTGATAACTTTTATCTTGACGTTAAGCGACCCCCATCTCCTTCAATCAGAAAAATAATCTCAAACTCTATTCAAGACGGTGGGCATTCTTTTCATCAAAAGCAAGACAAGTGGACAAGCTACTTTTAACATTTTCTCAATTGAATAACTCCATATTATGTCCAAAAATTTCGAACGCCTGATTCCACCGCGTTGCGATACCAGGAATATATATTTTTTAATTGAGAAAGTAAACGGATCATAAAAAAGTGTCCTGAAAAAACACACATTGACAGAATCCCCATTGTATTGTTATGATTATATTTACTCGGATGGTAATTCTAGTTCATCAAAAGCACAGCAACCTATAAAAAGAGATCTGCATAAAATAGGACGCAATGCACTTTAGATGAAACCTAGCACAGCCAGATGGTTGACTGAGTAAACTAAAATGTGGGCTGCTGCTGGGTGCTTGGTTGTGGTTTTTGCTCCTTCTTTCTTGTCAAACATTTCTATAAATCGTCCTAATTTCTCCTTCTTCTTTTATTTTGTTATGTTTTAAAATTTATTTTTTCATTTATTTACTTTTTAAATTCATTAAACAATTTATTTTTAGTTAGTTAATTAATTAATTAATCATTTATATATTTGTACGCCACTCACTATTATTACTATTACAACTATAATCTTCTACACTTATTATTAATTTAACAACATGACCGATTTGAGTTGCAGGTGACATCGGAGGTCAAGTGGTTAGGCTCTCGGTCTCGCAACCGTAAGGTCATAGGTTCGAATCGCGTCAGGGCACCAAGGTTTTCTTTGTATCCTCACTTCACCCCGGTGGGAATGGGTATCCAGCTATAGGCTGCGAAATTTCTTGTCTGTTAGTTAATATTTGAGCGCTAAATCAGCTGCTAGCTCTGTTTCTTCCCACTGAGTCAATGTTTCAGAGTGCATTCTTGTTCTTATTCTCATTAGATCTATCACTATTATTA